AATCATTTTCTGTTGACTATATGCAACAGGGATTTATTCATTTTTATTTAATAATCATTGGGGATATCTCCATAAGAAACACATTTATTTTGATGCATTTTTATTTTTGACCCAGGAAAATGTGTATCTATTAGGGATGTAACGATACCAAAAACTCACGGTATAATAATATCGCGATAACAAGTCCACGGTACGGTATTATCGCGATATTGAAAAAAGAAAAGAAAATAATTTTTTTTAAATTTTTAAATTAATTAATTTTTTACTTGAAAAAATGTTCTTTATTAAATAATACATCTGATTTTGAACAGGCATTTTTGTAGGGATAGTTAGTATTTTAAAGTGTCAAAAACAAAGTGACAGTAACAGACTGGAACACATGAGGAGACATGTGTAAATATGTATATATATTTAGTTTAATTAGAGGCGAGGGTGCTTTATTGACAGGATTTTATTATTATTAGTTTAAATGCAGTTTTTTAACTAAGGCACTAATCTGCTTCCATATAAAGGAAATAACATTTAAGTGCAAAGCAAATACAAATCTGATAGGTGATATTTTTCAGCACAAATGATGGGCTACAGTCTTTAAGAGATACATGGTTCTATGAATATTAAATATATATTTAAAGATAAGATGCCAGGTTAAAACCTTTATGGATAATGTACAGCAGGGGTTTCCAAACTACGGCCCGCAGACCTTTTTGAATCGGCCTTCAGCAAATTAAAAAAGTATAATGACTTAAGTATAATAAACTTCTGCTTGTGTTATATTGTACTTCTTAAATATATATGTTCAAATATATTAGGCAGTAGTCATGTGTTAATAAGAGCCCAATTTTCTAATAAATTCAGTCAATTAGATTTGTTAGATCATGTTTTCAACTTTAAGTTGAAAAAACCCCCCCCCAATAACACATGTCCACAACAAGCTTGAAAATCTACCCTCATATTTTCTTCCAGACCTTCGTATATCTTTCTGTATGTAGCCCTCGGTGAAAAAAGTTTGGACACCCCTGATGTACAGGGTTTAAGGAATATTAGGGTTGAATACAGATTAAATAAATATGAATACAGTGTCATAAGAATACTTGATAAATCCTGAATGTCCTCTTCCAGTATGAGAGTAACATGATAACAAAGGTATCAACTGTAGCTGTGAACATGACAGGATGTGTGATGACCCTAGAAGAGCATCAGGACTGTTTGAGGCAGATGATAGCTATGTGATTAACATGATGATTCAGCCTCTATGGAGAGAGACATCAAGCATGCTCATTTCTGACGTGGAGCTAATCTGAAGTAAACATTGAATACTGCTTTCTATTCCTCCACCTTGTGACTGTGTAACTCCCTCTCTTGGATATCAGCATGTGAAGGACACTGTTCAGGAACTAGTTGATGCTCTGTATGTGATGACTACTTCCATTCTGAAGAGGATCACAGATACATGGATCCTGAGGTTGAAGCTCAAGCCGGGGACCAGGGAGATTTTTCCTAAGAAATATTATGTAAATATATCTGCTTCAGATTTGCCGAGGCCCAGGAAGCGTCTGACGGAGCTCATGCTGAAGACGGCCATGGAGACCCCGGGAGAAAAGGAGCATGAGAGGCGGGAAAAGGCCTCCCGCGTCTGGGGCCTTCGCTTCTACCGGAGCCCAGTGGAAATCCTGGCCGACCCTGAACGCAGCAGCAGGATGGCTGGCATCCGGTTGGCGGTCAACAATCTGGAGGTAAACCGTTTCAAAAAGGAAAATGGTGCAGGAGTAAGTCCTAAAACCAGGAAATGAGTCAGTCTTTACCAAGTGTCTAAATGAGTCATGTGACCTTGCTGTAGTTCCTTTATAGCCCAACATTAGCCACCTTTAGCTTAGCGGTGGTGATGTGAAGTCATGTGACCGTGCTGTAGTTCCTTTATAGCCCAACATTAGCCACCTTTAGCTTAGTGGTGGAGACGTGAAGTCATGTGACTGTGCTGTAGTTCCTTTATAGCTCAACATTAGCCGTCTTTAACTTAGCGGTGGTGACGTGAAGTCATGTGACCGTGCTGTAGTTCCTTTATAGCCCAACATTAGCCACCTTTAGCTTAGCGGTGGAGACGTGAAGTCATGTGACCGTGCTGTAGTTCCTTTATTGCCTAATGTAAGCTTTTTACATAAAAAAGTCATAAAGTGGTGTTAATACAACACAGTCTCACGGCATTTCGTGTTATAGTCAAGAAATTAATTTAATCTATTGATTCGTGTTCACCAACACGATTTCGCCATTTTTTCCGTGTCACACAGAATGATTTTAAAAGCAATGTAAATAATAACAAATTAGAAGGAAAAACTGATTTGAAAAAATACAGATTTCAGTATTCTGACATAGAACGATTTTAGAAGCAATGTATTTCTATTGGTCAGTGGCGAGCCGTGACTTTTATACCTAGGCCCTCTGACCCCCCTTCCCTCGAAAAAAAGAAGAGATATTACGTCTCAACGTATACTTCAGCGGAATATCAAAACAGCGGCCCGGGGTGCAAAACGCATCAATGACAGCGACCCTCTACCACACAAAACAACACCATTTATATAAACACCTATCATGACAGGGCACCCACAGCCAAGTAACAATTACAAATGAATGAAGTCGGCACGGCGGCCCACATTGAAAATGACTTAGGCCTACCTTTGATGATCAAATCACTGAAACACAAAGTCCATCCTCCTGTCCTTTTGGATGAAGCACTTGATGGCGGGTCATGCAGCTGATCCTTTGCCACTCCAGTTTATCATTGTAACTCAATCTTGAAAATGACTCGGTTAATAATTTCACAACGATGTCATCACTATCACTGAAGTGAGCCATCATGAACAAACGTATGCTAATCATAAATCTATCGATCATAAATCTATCGATTACATTTATGATTCGAAAATAATAAAAGTAGGGTAGACATGTGGATATTATCCGGCTGAACAAAACGTGCATTTATCTAACAGGTTCGTTTTCCACAGACCTTATTTCGAGTTATCTTCCAAAACCCTATGGAGAAATCCCGTTGCTTTCTGTCGAGGGAATCCGAGCGCAGCTTACTTCCGGGTTTTAGGATGCGTCACTGCACCACTTGCATAGACCTCACAGCGGGCGGAACTTGTCATAAAGTCCGCGAAAATAAAGCCCACCCATTTAGAGGGAAGATATGATTGGTCAATTGTACTGTCATTTGACATTACTCTCTCGTTGAGTTACTATAGCTGGCCCTCTGTGAATGTAGAGAGGGACCAACAAGCTCTCTCGTCTTCACATAACTCACAGAGACGGCTAAAGGAGCTTCTTTAATTTAACGAATTATTAATGGGTTTTCTCCGGAAGTTTTTCCTTGTACGATGTGAGGATCTAAGGACAGAGGATCTAAGGACAGAGGGTCTAAGGACAGAGAGTCTAAGGACAGAGGGTGTCGTATTGTCATACTGATATTATGTACACACTGTGAAGTCCACTGAGACAAATCTAACATTTGTGATATTGGGCTATATAAATAAACATTGATTGATTGATTGATTTAACCCTTCACATTCAAACAGAAACTGAACAGGCAGATTCGAAGGATTTATTTCTTTGGAAATGTTATTTCAAATAATTTCAAATAATTTCCAATTAAATCAAGTTATTTTTGTAAAACTAATGAAAAATGTGACAACAACAAAATATAAAAAAAAATATTTAAAAAAAAATGTTGTTTTTTTAATGTTTTCAAATATTATTTTTTGGAATATCTTAGGCCCTCACAGAGGGCCTGGAGGGCCCTGACGGCTCGCCACTGCTATTGGTAGTATGTTTCGTGCCTGCACCAAATAATAACAAATTTGTATTCTGAGGCTCTGAGCCCCATTTATTTTCCTCGTGGACGGCAAAAAAACTCCGACATTATACAATTTAAAATAAAAGGGTTAGGATAAGATATTGAGTAAGAAAATGTTTTTATGAACCACACAGCTTTTGGTATTCCAAGACCTGACCGGACATAAATACGTGGTGTAGGCACAAAACATACTACCAATAGAAATACATTGCTTTTAAAATCGTAAAAAATGCGAGAATCGTGTTGTTGAACACGAATCAATAGATTAAATACATTTCGTGACTATAACACGAAATGCATTGAGACTGGGTTGGTTAATATGTGGAGATTATCCTGCTAAACTAAACGTGTAAGTATTATAAATATTAAATGGTAAAACACATTGGATTTTTGTGGAGGGAACCAGGGAGATGCTGCGTTCAGGGTCCACAACAGAAATACCACATCCCTGCAGCTCTGTATGGTCCTGGTTAAAGATAGTAAAAGTGGTTTCTATGAGCAGGGATCAGGCGAGGAAGCCCGGGCGGTGTTGACCGGAGAGATGGAGGATGTGAGCTGTGGACTGATTATCAGCAGCATCGGATATAAGAGCCTCTCCATCGACCCCTCGGTGCCGTTTGACTCCCACAGAGCCATCGTGCCCAACAACATGGGCCGGATTCAAGAAGCTCCAGGTACTCAGGCCTTGTTCAGACTGCCTTAATCCATGTTTTAGCATTTTCTGATAGTTTTTTCTGAATTTGGACAGTAAAAAACACATTAACTGCAGATTTTGCAAATATATGGTGCTTTAAAATGCATTTTGTCTTAATTCAGACACTCAAATCGGATTTCTTTGAACACAGAAACTAGTTTTTTAGCCTACTTTTGTCATTTTATTTAGCTTTTGTAATGACTCATTTTTAAGACGTAACAATAATGATGCTACGAAGAAACTAAAAATAAAATGCATAAAAATAATTCTTTATGAATTATTTTTCATTTTTTATGGGTATTTTTGCCTGTAGAGACACTTAGTGGTATAAATGAAATGGTGTGATTGTAGTGTTCCACAGACATGAAGTGAAAAATAAATGTCCTTTATCTTTCTTTCTAGGTCTCTACTGTAGTGGCTGGCTGAAAACAGGCCCCACTGGTGTGATAGCGACCACTTTGAACAATAGTTTTGACACGGTTCGATCCATGCTGGAGGACATGGACTCTGGAACGTTGAACACATCGGCTGCGAAGCCGGGATCACAAAGCATCAACGCTCTGCTGGAAAACAGAGGTTCCTGCTGTCCCTTTAATTAATTTACACTGTGCTTCGATTAAAGTGGCCCTATTCTCCTCATTTTCAGGAGAAAAAATGAGAGAATCTGATGGATAAAGTCAGATGTTATGCACTTAAGGACATTTTAGTCCTTAAAGGTCTTACTCTGTGTGTTTGGGCTACACACTATATACTGATATTTAGAAATAAAAAAATGTGCTATATGCCTTAAAACATAATTTAAGATCTAATTCGATTCCGAGGCTCAGGGTCAATTTAGTAAATGCATGTTACTGACTCTGATTTCGTGTCCTGCAGGAGTGAAACCAGTGACTTTCTCCGAGTGGGAGAAGATTGACAGTGAGGAAGTTCGGAGGGGGGCGGCGATCGGGAAACCCCGAGAAAAACTGCTGACTGTGGAGGAAATGCTACAGGTGGCTGGAAAATAACCTGAAGACGACAACATTTCATACCGTCCTGTCTGGGATCAATGACAGAAATTACATTAAATGATACGTAATAAAAGCTATTAGGTACTGCAGTTTACCCGTTAAAGCTTTTAGTTTTCGTTCAACTTCCAATCAATCCAAAGCACTGAAAAACTAAGTTTCCTGACGTGCCAACATTAAAGACAATTCTCTATTAGATGCTATACATAATGAACTCCACTCTAATATAATGTATGTATTTTAAAACGGGAAACTTCATTATTTGTCAACCCCAAATGTATAATTGGTTCGGTATTGAGTGAGAGTTACCGTTCACATGTTTATTTCAGGGTATCTTTGCTCTCAAGAGCCCCTATTATGCTTTTTGTTGCTTACATAATACTGGACTCATTTCAAAAACTGTTTCCCCAATAGACATGGGACACTGTTCAGGAAAAATACTGAAGTTTCTCTTTAGAAGAGCAATGACTGCTTGGGGACCAAATTATATTTTGCAAGTGTTTGCACTGAAACAGATATTTTATAAATAAATCATGATTTATATCCTTCCCGTCTTGAAGGAGCATTTCTTCCCGTTGCATTTTAAATATTTAGGTCTACGGACATTTTGTAAAAGAAAACCCTAAATACAGATTCTATAAGTTCCTTCCACTGGTCTAAAAGATGACATGTTATTGAACAAAAAGAATCCAAGTTTGACTAATGGATTAAAAAAACTGATGTTTTACCAGCAGTTCTATCACATTTGAATATTAAGGACATTTTAAAGCAGAAATACAATAATAATAGTATAAGATACTCTAAAAATAAAGTTTTGATATTTGGAAAAGAAAACCGATTTATTAATGAAAGTTTTATTTTATGGCAAAGATAAAAGCTCGATAATCGGCGTCTCGTTGACCCCGTCGTGGCGAACGTTATCCGTCTCGTTGACCTAGTCGTGGCGAACGCTATCCGTCCCGTTGATCCCGTCGTGGCGAACGTTATCCGTCCCGTTGATCCCGTCGTTATCCGTCCCGTTGACCCCGTCGTGGCGAACGTTATCCGTCCCGTTGATCCCGTCGTGGCGAACGTTTTCCGTCCCGTTGACCAAGTCGTGGCGAACGTTATCCGTCCCGTTGACCAAGTCGTGGCGAACGTTATCCGTCCCGTTGACCAAGTCGTTTCCAACGTTATCCGTCTCGTTGACCCAGTCGTGGCGAACGTTATCCGTCTCGTTGATCCCGTCGTGGCGAACGTTATTCGTCTCGTTGATCCCGTCGTGGCGAACGTTATCCGTCTCGTTGATCCCGTCGTGGCGAACGTTATCCGTCTGGTTGACCCAGTCGTGGCGAACGTTATCCGTCTCGTTGACCCCGTCGTGGCGAACGTTATCCGTCTCGTTGATTCCGTCGTGGCGAACGTTATCCGTCTCGTTGATTCCGTCGTGGCGAACGTTATCCGTCTCGTTGATCCCGTCGTGGCGAACGTTATCCGTCTCGTTGATCCCGTAGTGGCGAACGTTATCCGTCTCGTTGACCCAGTCTTGCTGAACGTTATCCGTCTCGTTGACCCAGTCGTGGCGAACGTTATCCGTCTCGTTGATCCCGTCGTGGCGAACGTTATCCGTCTCGTTGATCCCGTCGTGACGAACGTTATCCGTCTCGTTGATCCCGTCGTGGCGAACGTTATCCGTCTCGTTGATCCCGTGGTGGTGAACGTTATCCGTCTCGTTGAACCCGTCGTGGCGAACGTTATCCGTCTCGTTGATCCCGTCGTGGCGAACGTTATCCGTCTCGTTGATCCCGTCGTGGCGAACGTTATTCGTCTCGTTGATCCCGTCGTGGCGAACGTTATCCGTCTCGTTGATCCCGTCGTGGCGAACGTTATCCGTCTGGTTGACCCAGTCGTGGCGAACGTTATCCGTCTCGTTGACCCCGTCGTGGCGAACGTTATCCGTCTCGTTGATTCCGTCGTGGCGAACGTTATCCGTCTCGTTGATTCCGTCGTGGCGAACGTTATCCGTCTCATTGATCCCGTCGTGGCGAACGTTATCCGTCTCGTTGATCCCGTAGTGGCGAACGTTATCCGTCTCGTTGACCCAGTCTTGCTGAACGTTATCCGTCTCGTTGACCCAGTCGTGGCGAACGTTATCCGTCTCGTTGATCCCGTCGTGACGAACGTTATCCGTCTCGTTGATCCCGTCGTGACGAACGTTATCCGTCTCGTTGATCCCGTCGTGACGAACGTTATCCGTCTCGTTGATCCCGTCGTGGCGAACGTTATCCGTCTCGTTGATCCCGTCGTGGTGAACGTTATCCGTCTCGTTGAACCCGTCGTGGCGAACGTTATCCGTCTCGTTGATCCCATCGTGGCGAACGTTATCCGTCTCGTTGATCCCGTCGTGGCGAACGTTATCCGTCTCATTCATCCCGTCGTGGCAAACGTTATCCATCTCGTTGATCCAGTCGTGGACCACTTTCTGGTGACGTGACGCCTCAGCTTCCACTTCGTTGGTCTCCAGTTGAACTGAAACAAATACCTTTCATTAAAAACTTTATAGAAATGTAATTAATTTTTGCTTCAAGACTCTGATCCTGTATTTTTTTTTTTATGAAAAAAGGCCATTTCATCGTGACGTCTGTAGTCAACAGATTATAAAAGACTACAATTACCACGGCACCTTCCTCTAAAAGTCTAAAGTGACAGAGATGGGCAACCTTTTTTGAACCGCTCAATTACCCTTTAAGTTATCAAGTTATACAAGCCTTAACAAAACAGCTTTTGGTAATCTGTTGTAGTTTAATTTTAAATAAATCATTTTGAAAATGTTTTTAAAGTTACTAAAACTGTGAGGTAAATTAAGTTAGGTGGCAATATTTCCCCTTTATACTTGTACTCTATTACAATTGTTTTTAAAATGGCAAAGTACCTCAAAAGTGTTTTTAATATAGCATCTGTTGACTTTATCTTATCCCATGAAGATCAGTAAAAGAGAAAATACATGACTCACCATGGCCAGCGTCTCGCTCCAACATGGACTCCATCGACTGGAAAAGTTGAAAGGCTTTCTTTAAGGAGATCTCATTGGGAGACAGATCTGTAGGACACAGTACAATTAAAGGTTAGTGTCAGACAGAGAGAAGAAACACTGCATACAATCAAATGTTTCAACTCTCAGTCTCCTCTGCAGCTTATATTCACCAGCTGGAAAACCAGAGACTGGACACGAAACATGCTGTTAAATCAAACATTATTCCTTCATCTTCAACACAATTATCAAACAGGTAAATACCTCTGGCCAGACAAACAGTCAGCACACAGACGAGCATCCAAACAGCTGCCATCTCTGCAGTTTTCCAAGAGAGTGTTGCCTGAGCACCAGGCAGCTTTAAAGGAGGGAAACCTCCAGCAGCTGCTACTGATCAGCACTGATTGTATCTGCACAGAGGAAAACACCATTTATCTGAGATTAAACTCTGAGAATGAGGAGTTTTTCATGGAGCTTGTTGTGCATTTATGATTAGTAGAGACCATCATTTTAAATTCACATTAAATATTCATATATTGTTTTTTTACTTTTCTCCCTTTTACAGACATGCCAACTTTATATCAATCCCACCCATTACAAATCGTATATATTATATTTAAACATGTCTGCATGATTAAGGCCAAACCTTTCTAGACATACATATATATATAATATATATACAATCTGACACTATTTAAAAACTCTGAAAAAGCTCCATAAAAACTTCCTTCCTCTTCAGAAAAGAAAAAATGCAATACAAAATAAAATAAAATTAACAACTCTCTCCTGTAATACTTTATTCTGATTGGTCGATTTGAAAAGTCGTCAGCAGGATATGGTTATTTTAGAAATGTAAGTTTCTATCTGGCAAATACAGATTGAAAATAAATGCAGAAAATAAACTTTCTATTTTGAGTGACAGGTTTAGAAGATTGTGAAACCCTGAATTGGGTATACCAAGTTTATATTCCTGATTTTTCTTTTGAGGCTAAATTGTTATTAGAGTCCACCTTTTTACCATCTTGTTATAGTCCAGCACATAGAAGTGCATACGGACTTCAGACTAACCTGCAATAAAGCCTGCATTTGGAAGGAGGGCAAGGTTTTCTAATGAACATTTCTCAAAATATTGCACGTTTAATCTTCTCCCTTTTACTGACATGACCAATGTCTGCTAATCCTATGTAGTATGAGAGTTTTTAAAAGACTGTTCTAGTCCAGCTGAGCTTTTATTGGACTGTTAAGGGAAGATGTATGCATGATAAGAGCCAAGCATTGCAATACAAACATTGGATTGACACACTGTTATTTAAGAAATGTATACACGTTTTATTATATTGCTAAGATAACGTCTCAGATATCAAGCTCTCCAAGGCAGTCGAAATATACGAGATGAATCTATGCAGTATTGAATATCTCCTCGCTCATCGTCCCGTTGAACTTTTACTTTTCCTCGTCCCATTGAATTTTCCTCGTCGCTCATCGTCCCGTTCAACAACTGCTCGTTGCTCATCGTCCCGTTCAACTTTTCCTCGTCGCTCATCGTCCCGTTCAACATCTGGTCGTCTACTTTATGGGTATCCAGGAGTACTGAAAAAACATTTGCGTCATAAATGATGGACGTCAAGATAATACATGATGTTCTCTAGACTGAAATCACAGCATGAATTCTGTAATAGTTCCTCAAGGGCTTGGTTACTTCATAAATCCTGTTTTTGTAAAAAAATGAGCGATGTTGGAAGTGAATTCAGAAACCAAACATTGCTGCATTAACTTATAAGACATGCAAGTGGTTTGTTTTAGCTCGTATACACACGATTAGCTTGACATTGCTGTGTTTCAAATGAATCATACATATCACAGATTTCAGATCTTTTACACCACTTTTATGCGACACATACTGTTGTCTTTTTGGCCTTTAGAGCTCACCTTTGTGCTCATGCTGGACGCCCCCCGTCGTGCCGTTGTTCTGCTGGACGCCCCCCGTCGTGCCGTTGTTCTGCTGGACGCCCCCCGTCGTGCCGTTGTCTCTGGGAACCAGGTTCTGCTGGACGCCCCGCGTCGTGCCGTTGTTCTGCTGGACGCCCCGCGTCGTGCCGTTGTTCTGCTGGACGCCCCCCGTCGTGCCGTTGTTCTGCTGGACGCCCCCCGTCGTGCCGTTGTTCTGCTGGACGCCCCCCGTCGTGCCGTTGTTCTGCTGGACGCCCCCCGTCGTGCCGTTGTTCTGCTGGACGCCCCCCGTCGTGCCGTGGTTCTGCTGGACGCCCCCCGTCGTGCCGTTGTTCTGCTGGACGCCCCCCGTCGTGCCGGTGTCTCTGGGAACCAGGTTCTGCTGGACGCCCCGCGTCGTGCCGTTGTTCTGCTGGACGCCCCCCGTCGTGCCGTTGTTCTGCTGGACGCCCCCCGTCGTGCCGTTGTTCTGCTGGACGCCCCCCGTCGTGCCGTTGTTCTGCTGGACGCCCCCCGTCGTGCCGTTGTTCTGCTGGACGCCCCCCGTCGTGCCGTTGTCCATGGGAACCAGGTTCTGCTGGACACCCCCAGTCGTTGCTTCGCCCCAAATGACAAACCGGTTCTGGACGTCCCCAGTCGTGGAGTCTACCCCAATGACGACCCATTTTTGGACGTCCCCCTCCTTGGCCACTCCCCTAACGACGATCCGGTTTCTGGACAGCCTCTGCTGTCGGGTTCGCTAATGACGATCAGGTTCTGGACGCCCCCCGTCTTGGCTTTGTCCTTAATGATGACCAAGTTCTGGACGCTCCCCGCCGTGGCGTTTCCCCTAATGACGACCCGGTTCTGGACGTCCTCAGTTGTGGAGTCGCCTCCTATGATGACCCATTTTAGGTCACGCCCCGCAGTGGAATTTCCCCTAATGACGACCCGGTTCTGGACGCCCCCCTCCGTGCCGTTGTCCCTTGTTACGACCTGGTTCTGGACATTTGTTGTCTCGTTGACGCTCTGGGGCTTTTGTTCAGGATTCTGGTGACCAGACGCATCAGCTTCCACGTCATTGGTTTCCAGTTGTACTGAAAGAAAGAAGGATTGATTAACGAAATAAGAACCAAAATAAATCACGTGATGTTATACATCGACTGAAATCACAACGTGAATTGTTCTGTAGTTTTCTTTTAATTCTTGCTTTTTCTAATGTGGCATTTGTTCGATTGAAGACCGTTTTTAAGATCAATTCTCAAAGTTGTTCAATTTGGCACGACATTTCTCAAACGCATGGCATCAACATGCACAATATATCATGGGATGGCCATCAAATACAAAAATCTTCCCAATTTCAAGTCTTTAAAACCAGTTTAAAGCATTATCACCCCATAGTGTTCCTCAAGGGCTGGGTGTCTTAACTTGGTATAAGACATACAGATATCATAATGTTTTAAACCCTTTTCTACACGGTTTAAATATCTTGAGTTCATCTCATTTCCTAGCTTTCAGATCATTTTCACCACTTTAATGCGGCACATACTGTTGACCTTTTAGTCTTTAGGGCTCACCTTCTCGAGCATCTTGGTCTAACATGGACTCCATCGACTGGAAAGGTGCAAAGGCTTTCTTTAAGGAGATCTCATTGGGAGACAGATCTGTAGGACACAGTATAATTAAAGGTTAGTGTCAGACAGAGAGAAGAAACACTGCATACAATCAAATGTTTTCAACTCTCAGTCTCCTCTGCAGCTTATATTCACCAGCTGGAAAACCAGAGACTGTGGACAGGAAACATGCTGTTAAATCAAACATTATTCCTTCATCTTTAACACAATTATCAAACAGGTAAATACCTCTGGCCAGACAAACAGTCAGCACACAGATGTAGTGATGTTACGTATTGCGCCGAGGCTTCGGAGCGTGTGTCGAGTAATCCCCGAAGCTTTTTGTGAAGCATGTATCGAGGCTTGTATCGTTTTGGGCCAGTGACGACATCGATGACAAACGAAGCCTCGCTGCCTGTCGATACCACGTGACTGCTTCAGGAAGCGATTCAGATCGGTTGAACCGTTGAACCACAACGCTCATAATACCAATGGATGTATAATAAGAACCATATTACCCCTCCTGTACCCGGGTCCGGTGACACGATGGAATCAAGAGAGCTCAGACCCTCACCCATATAGAGGTCGGAACATGTCATAAGTATAAATAGATACAAGCATAAATAAATGTAGGAAAAAAAACATGAATTAATAAATACAGGAATAAATATGTTACAGTATTTTCAGGGAGATTCAACGTGTGTGCTGTGGCTCAGCTGGAAAGCAGTTGACTCACGATCGCAGGGTCTCTGGTTCAACGACTCGTCAATACGTCTTTTTTGTTGTTTATAAAAGCTACAGCTAAATGAGATAATGTAGTTAATAAATGTATTCTTTGATATGGTTTAGCCTTTCTCAGGCTACAACATGGTTACGTTTATGAATATTATTAAGGAATACAAATCCCTATTTGTAATGTTTACCAGCCTCCTTAGGCTTCTCAATCACAATCATTCAACTGGAATAAAAACAATATTGTTAACATGAAAATATGATTTAATGTTCGTTGTTTAGAGTTATTCTAAGGCTTTACTCATTGGGAACTCGGTATGAGAGAGCACACTGTTGAGATGTCCAATCTGCCTGTTTTACACACTTTGACCAACAGGGGGTTTGTGTTCAAATGAAGCCCATGATGAAGCCTCATGAGATGAACCCTTTTGCGAACCAATTGGCTGGAAGGCTGGAAAGCTTCAAAGCTTCATAAGGCTTCATCTCGCCATCACTACACAGACGTACATCCAAACAGCTGCCATCTCTGCAGTTTTCCAAGAGAGTGTTGCCTGAGTACCAGGCAGCTTTAAAGGAGGGAAACCTCCAGCTGCTACTGATCAGCACTAATTGTCTCTCTGCACAGAGGAAAACACCATTTATCTGAGATTAAACTCTGGGAATGAGGAGTTTTTCATGGAGCTTGTTGTGCATTTATGATTAGTAGAGACCATCATTTTAAATTCACATTATGTTCAAATCAATAAAATAATATTGCATTTGAGAGGGTATAGCAACTACAACAAATAACAAGACCTCCCCCTGAAAATCAAAGATCTGTATTAACATTTTATATTGTTGCCTAAAAACAATTTCACACAAGGTAAGAACTCTGAAAAAGTTATAGTAAATATCCAAAATATCCCTCCTCTTCAGAAAACAAAAAATGCAATTACAACATTTTACAACCCCCTTCCCTAAACACATATTTTGTAGAAGAGAAGAAAACAGGGTTATTTTAAAGCCTTCTTCCTGTCATGCCTCACCTAAAATACCTGATTGCTCATGAAACTTGCATTTTTAAGACGTAACTGTGAGGAAAACTTCTGTACAGTAATATTGAGGTGAAATGATGGAGACTGGATCGTCGTTAGCCAAAACACTGAGAGTTTATTAAAGAGTACGAAAATACAGCCGGAGAGATTACATGGTTTCACACTGTCCGTGCAGCCACCAAGCCATCTCTGAAGACAAAGCCAGAAACACAGGACCTTACATGAGAAAGGGAGGGGCCTTAGAAACGCGGGCTTTCCTTTAATGAATGCCAGATGTCGGGACAAAAGGCCTGTTTGTCTCACAAGTAGAGAGAAAAGGAAACCCTCCCCCACAGGAAGAGCAGAGAAGCTTCTTGACCTGTGACCTCAATTTACAGAGAGGATCATATGACTTTAACGAAAAGCATGTTTGCAATAAGACAGATTCTCAGAAAAGCTGAGAAAATCTATTCAATCAAGATCGGATTAAAATATTCTCTCACAGTCCATTCTTTTTATCAATTTATGATAACCAATTAACATTAGTCTACGAATATTTCAGACAATACTTAAATCAATAAGCATCTTCAGAATTGGGTGGACTCACATACATCAATTATCAAAAGTAAACAAGATTGAACACATTCCAATCACCATGATTGAATACAGTCAATCATAATAGAAAAATCATCTCTCTTCAGTGTTTGGCATCATTTGTCAAAAAGCACAATAATAAACACACATGAAATACAAAAATATAATAACAAAATATATGTTTCAAAAATAAGATCTTTTATCATTTATCACTCAGTTAATCTCATTCATTAAACACAAATTCTAAATCAGTTTACATCTCAAAGATTTAGGATTATATTAGGATTATAAGAAATCCAATTGAGGTATAAAATCAGAATCATGAGAGATCCAGCTAAGATTCCCAGTTAAGGTATAAATTCACAGTGATGAATCGATCAATCTGTAATCTGTAACGTTACAGTGTCCTCAATCTTTAACATTAATTACGTTTACTTCATTACGTTTTATTCAAGAGTAAGGCACTTAGTAGTACATATATTTCATTCAAATACATTTGTTCAAAATCTGAAAAGGAAGAATCAGACATTTTATTGTATAACAACCTGAAAGGAAAAATCAGACATTTGTTCTTTAATTCAGAGTATCAACTGTAATCAATATCAAAACATCTGTTCTTTATTCAGAGTATCAACTGTAATCAATTTGTCAATCGCTGAATGGAGGTACCCATGGTACAGAAACCGCGATGGAGACCCAGGGATCTGGGAGCTCAGCGTCATACATCAACATTGTGTCATCTACAGTTGAATACCCCACTAGCCTCTGTGGGGCCTGGAGGGCAGTCTTGGCAACCCTTTGTATGGCTAATTTAACTACAGTGATCAAACAGATCACTAGGATTAGCACAACCAAGATAAACACTGAAACAGTAACAACAAATTTAACCAACCCCGCTCCCCAGGATCCAAAGGTTCCACTTAAATCCCCAAATGTAAACCCATGAGTTTCATGCAATTCGTTTATTCCCCTAGCAGTATCATGAGCCATATCCATAACTTCAGGTGTAGCATCAGAAATGAAAGAACAGCACTCAGTTCCAATCACAGGGAAAATCGGCCAGGACAGAATCCCCATTTGACACCGATTCCCCAGGTTATCATAAAAAAAATACCACAGATGTAAATAGAGATACCCAAAAAAATTGCATCTGCTCAGTTTCACAGGTAATTTATGATACCGTCAATCACAGAGTCTGGTAAGGCAATGTCCAAATATAGATTTGAAATTACACTTACCAGTTCTGAAGATCTTTTGGTATCCTGTTCGTGACGCAAATCTGTGAGGAAAACTTCTGTACAGCAATATTGAGGTGAAATTATGGAGACTGGATCGTCGTTAGCCAAAACACTGAGAGTTTATTAAAGAGTACGAAAATACAGCCGGAGAGATTACATGGTTTCACATTGTCCGTGCAGCCACCAAGCCATCTCTAAAGACAAAGCCAGAAACACAGGACCTTACATGAGAAAGGGAGGGGCCTTAGAAACGCGGGCTTTCCTTTAATGAATGCCAGATGTCGGGACAAAAGGCCTGTTTGTCTCACAAGTAGAGATAAAAGGAAACCCTCCCCCACAGGAAGAGCAGAGAAGCTTCTTGACCTGTGACCTCAACTTACAGAGAGGATCATA